CCATAGCAAACATAGCCCTATCGATTCCGGCATACTCCGGCCGGCTCCGAGTAGGCCAGAGGTACAAACGACTGGCCGGCTCGGTGCTTGGCCTGTCTTGTCTGCCCGGCCAGGGCGCAGATGAACTCGGGCTCCGTCGCCTCGACGTCCTCCTCACCACGGCCCCTCGTGTCCTCACGGTCAGATGCCCATGTTCATGCACATGTATGTGCTCACATGTGGAGCTATGTCGAGTCAGCACATCAACGTCATCCAACAACTGAGTCGACCTTCGCTCACTTTCGACAGTCAGTTTGGGTCGTCTGGGCCGAAAGGGTCTCGAGAGCGAAGCCTATCAGAAGGGAACCATGAAGAACTGGTTTGCCGACTTCTATTCATATGATTGCTGAAAAACTAGGGCCCTCTAAACCGAAGAGTATGCAGGTGAAGCAAATATTGACTTTATTACCTGCCATATTACAGAATAATAACTTCCTGCTCTTCACTTATGTGTAGCTATTACTTGATTATATATTATTTTCAAGATATATTATTGCCTATAAATGCTTAGCCCCAGATACGATTTCCTAATCCTCATTAACCAAATAAGATGAAAAATTAAAAATTATTATGGATGTGGAAGAGATGTGAAAGTCATTAGTTCAGAATGAAACATCAAGAAAAACTCTTCTGAAAAAAATCTCAAGCTGGAATAACGCTTAAATACCAGTCAAACTATACGTAGATAATGAAAATTAAAATACTCTGGAGTATGATCAAAAGAATATCACGACTCACTCCTTCTGAGTTCTGGGAAGAAAAACTGGAAAAGCTCTGTCAGATAATTTTTTGAAAACGGATATCCAGAAGAAGCAATACAAAACGACAAGCGAATGATGATAGAGAGATGGAAGGACGGATCATATGGAAGGAATGCTAGAGGAGCATAGGAAAAACTATGGATATGTCTATCCTCCTGCGAATTGGCTCGGAAGCCATGACCAATGCTAGGAAAACGGAGCATTCGTCCAATCCTGAAGAAAAGGACAACCCTCTTCACCAGCTTAACCACACAACATGAAGAAGTAAAAAAATATATATCAGAGAGACAGGAAGGACAATCAGCACGAGGATAAAGGAACACCAGCCACTATGCTTAAAAATGGAAAAGGGAAAATAGGAAGCGGTGCATTCTTACACCAGCGATTATGACTTAAGCCGGGCTGCAAGGAATGAGTCAATGTCGGTGGGGATGAGGAGCCAGGATAATTGAGTCATGGGTTTTAAGCCTATTGAGAAGAAGATTCCCAGGCACTGACATGTGCATGGGCAGGGAGGGGCATGGGCATCATCTGCACTTTTCACTGAAGATGCCGGCGAAACTTTTGGGAATGCACCCAACCGATGGTCCAATCCTGGAAATCACGAATACTAAGACAGAGGACACGGGACTGGGTTCGTTCAACTACGCCTCCATGATGCTCCGACCAAGCTGCCAAAACAAGGCAGAACCAGC